ATCTCCAACATCACTTCCCAAACCAGTGAAACGACGTAGGATCATCGAGTCGCAATCTGATTAAAATCATATGTTACATGGCTTCGTTAACTTCGTATTACGCCTGAACATCTAAGTGTGCCGCGGTCAGGGTCACGTTCAGGTGACCTTTATATTTATAAATACTCATTAAATTTTGACCAATCAGATAACCTCTTTTAAAAGGGCGCTCGGAGTTGTAACAAATATGGCGGACATTGATGAGAATGATGCGAAAGTTCTGAAGTTATTTGAGATTGATTGTCTGAAACCCGAACGGAAAAAGATACTCGAAGATTTAATATGACTCAGGCATGGCCTGGAGAGAGCGCAGCTCGTACATTTGTTTCGATAGTATACTATAATTTTTGAATCATAACATTACCCATTTTAATACATACAAAATTTACCTGTAATTGTTTTTTTTTTATAATATACTTGAATCTGTTGCTGGGCAAAATCATTCATTTTGAAAACAGGCATTGCCTGAAACGAGAGAAGCGTCTAAAATCTTTTCAATTTTATTTTCTAAATAACACTGTTTAAAATATTATCTATTTATTCGTTTTATAGCGATAAATGTAAAATTAATAATAAGTAAAGAAAAGCATTCGAATGAATTATGCAGTTCAAGAGAAAACACAAATGCATTTGGTACTGTTGCATTTAATTGCCCCGTCTATGGCCTCAGCGTAATGTTGCGGAAAGAGTGAGGCCCAGTAGAGGGACTTCATATTTGAAGATGTTTTGTTTATCAAATGTAACTGTTATTATCTGTTATTATAAAAGTTAAGTATATTGGTGATTAAATTCCAATTTTATTTTCCGACATGATATACTTTGCCTGATCCCTCTAAATCGTGTAAAAAGAGAATCACAATAGCCCAAAAATATCCGGATTTCCGTCTTGGTTTGGTAGTTACTATATACTTCCGGTTTGGGTGGAGAGAAGAAAAGACTGAAAACATGAAAGAAGCTTCAGTTTCTATAATTTTTAATGTCATGAATTTACATAACCACAGATTTTTTTTTATCAAATAAAGAGATATTTTTGAGAATGTGTAGCAAAGCTAAACAGCATCGTAAAAATAGGACCGCGGTAACTCTATACTAGCTACTTCCGTGACGAAGGATTTTGGAAGCATAGTATTTCGACGTTACCATGACCTCAATTGTTCGTACACATGTTACCGGAAAAGAGCTTCGTTTCTTGCGCCTTTGGCGCTTCCTTAGCCCAATGAGCTCTTATTGGGCTCTTATTAAGAGCGCAGCTCTTTTCCGGTGACATGTGTACGAACAATTGAAGTCATGGTAACGTCGAAATACTTCAAATAATGTTATGATTCAAAATTTAGAGTATACTATCGAAACAAATGTACGAGCTGCGCTCTCTCCAGGCCATGCCTGAGTCATATTATTCCCCATAGGATGCTACTGTTCATATTTGGTCAAAATACCTTCATTCAAACGGAAGAAAAAGGAAATTAAAGCTATTCCTCTATATCCCTTATTGGGCCCGCCTCTCTGCCACTAGTGGGGTCAGGTAAACCGTTTATACAATATTGGTTCCCCATCACCAAAGGGTGCTTTATACCAAAATTTGACAAAATCCTGTCATTCCTACAGAAGAAGAAGAATTTTGAAGAATTTGCTCTATTTCCCCTATTGGGCCCCGCCCCTCTGCCCCAGGGGGCCACACTCACCATTTATACAAAATTGAGTCTCATTGGGCTAAGGATGCTCCAGACCAAATTTAGTCAAAATATACTTGGCCGTTCAGGACTAGTAGTGTTTTAAAGGAAAAGTTGACGGACGGACGGACGGACGACGGACGATTTACGCTCACCATGAGCTTAAAACATAACAAAAGCAATAGGTCTTTTTACCTGATCGTGAAAAGCCCTAATTATACATCCACGACACCGTATTTGCATAATTACATATTTTAAGCATATTCAAAAACCTTCCTACAATTGTATGTATTATATACAGTAAAACATTTTGCGTGTGGTATTACATTAACTGATCTCAGAATAACGTGAGGATCATACGGACAAACTCATGTGCTCGGCAGATCAAACCTTCTCTGCTACAATGCTACACTATTGTAAAGTGCTCGTGACTAGACATGGCGACATGCAAAGATATTGATTGCACTGGTTTCTGTCTAGCGTGACCAGATTTTTTTGAACCCTATTACCTCACACGGCCTCCTCAACTACGTGTATAAAAGAACTGTCGTGACAGTTTAAATATTTGTACGATTATTGACGCTTAAAGGATCGTCACGTTTCAGCCGCTCACCGGCAACCATTGTTTTGTTATTGGAATCAAAAACAAATCGAGAACAAATAATGATCACTTGTTGCAGCTCGAGTTCCAGAACGTAATGACCGACTGTGCCGTTTCGTGTGATATGAGGGCTATTTATCTAGTTCTTTGTTCAGAAATAACTTATGAGTACACGAGTACTTTATGGACTTACGCCTCACTTCAGACAGGTTCAAGTTTTATTAGAATGGAATTTAAAGGCAGTTTGGACCGAAAGCCCCACATTCTAAGATGTTAATATACATATTAGCTAATAGCTTTTAGAGAGGATTAACTTTAGAGAAAGGGGGTTGCTATAGAAACCGTTCCTTTTAACCAGGCCCTATAGTCGCCTTTGTTGACTTTAGTTGTCATTTAAAATATTGTTTTGTTTCAAAACCATTTCCCCGAGGAGTTCCGAATGATAGATCGAGCCCGATAACATTGAATCATCATCAAATTAAGACTAGCCTACTTTTGAAGTTCAGTTACTACATTTCCTTGTAGGGTGCATCCTCGATAACAGGGTTCCGCTCACTTTCGCTCTCTGCACCCCTGGAATATGTCATGGCATAATTGAAGGCTCAGCATGCGCCGTCTTGTGGGGAGACAAGAAGAATAGTTTGATCCTTTGATGTACATCAAAAGAATCCCGCGGTCGCATAACGGTAAACGTCTTTTTAATCCGAGACCAATCAATTTTGATACGACATATTCCAGGGGTGCAGTGAGCGAAAATGAACGGAACTCCTGGTTATCGAGGATGTGTAGGCTGGAATTAAGCATTAAACTACTTTCAGATGCAGTTCATAATCAATATAAATGCATTGTGTTATATTTATATTTTCTTGTCTTTTTATCTTTTAACATAAATGATAACGACTTGAAGAGTTTCAAATATAGTCCGTGGACACAACAACTACTGTTTAGTTTTCATCAGTTCTTACTTCAAGCTGATATCTCTTTGTATTGTAAGAAAATAACAATAATTCTTTTAATTAACTTTCTTCTATTCTGATTGTCATTTTGGGGAGATGCATTGTAAAATTTGATATAAAGCATAACATTCATATATGAAAGTAATAAATTCAAATTACACCAAAACTATTTGCCTACCGACCTTCCGTATTGTTATAGGCATGTTTTTGTCTTGTTATTTTTTGATATTGGAGAAACATTTTGAACATTGAGGTCGCAGAAGAAGCAAGAGTAAGCATTATATTGCTGGTCGACCTTACTGTGACATTATATTGCTGGTCGGCCTTACTGTGACATTATATTGCTGGTCGACCTTACTGTAACATTATATATTGCTGGTCGACCTTACTGTAACATTATATTTCTGGTCGACTTTACTGTAACATTATATTGCTGGTCGGCCTTGCTGTAACATTATATTGCTGATCGACCTTACTGTGACATTATATTGCTGGTGGACCTTACTGTGACATTATATTGCTGGTCGGCCTTACTGTGACATTATATTGCTGGTCGACTTTACTGTAACATTATATTGCTGGTCGGCCTTGCTGTAACATTATATTGCTGGTCGACCTTACTGTGACATTATATTGCTGGTCGACCTTACTGTAACATTCTATATGGCTGGTCGACCTTACTGTAACATTATATTACTGGGCGACTTTACTGTAACATTATATTGCTGGTCGACTTGGTGGTCGACCATACTGTGACATTATATTGGTGGTCGACCTTACTGTGACATTATATTGCTGGTCGACTTTAGTGTATCATTATATTGCTGGTCGACTTAAGTGTATCATTATATATTGCTGGTCGACTTTACTGTAATATTATATTGCTGGTCGACTTTAGTGTATCATTATATATTGTTGGTCGACTTTACTGTAACATTATATTGGTGGTCGACTTTACTGTGACATTATATTGCTGGTCGACCTTATTATAACATTATATTGCTGGTCGACCTTACTGTAACATTATATATTGCTGGTCGACCTTACTGTAACATTATATTACTGGGCGACTTTACTGTAACATTATATTGCTGGTCGACTTTACTGTAACATTATATTGCTGGTCGACTTTAGTGTATCATTATATTGGTGGTCGACTTAAGTGTATCATTTTATATTGCTGGTCGACCTTACTGTAACATTATATTGCTGGTCGACCTTACTGTAACATTATATTGCTGGTCGACCTTACTGTATCATTATATTGCTGGTCGACTTTACTGTAACATTATATTGCTGGTCGACCTTACCGTAATATTCTATATTGCTGGTCGACTTTACTGTAACATTATATTGCTGGTCGACTTTACTGTAACATTATATTGCTGGTCGACCTCACTGTAACATTACATTGCTGGTCGACTTTACTGTAACATTATATTGCTGGTCGACTTTACTGTAACATTATATTGCTAGTCGACTTTACTGTAACATTCTATATTGCTGGTCGACCAAACTGTAACATTTTATTGCTGGTCGACCTTACTGTAACATTATATATTGGTGGTCGACCTTACAGTAACGATATTGTCATGACATGTATGTCCAGGACAAACAATATTCGTAGTTATAGAGTAACACAACTTACACGTGTTCCAGGAAAAACTCTGAATATCCAATATTTATGAAATAAAGAACTTACTTTAATACAACAGTTGATATACATATGATATACTGAATTATAAAGAAACATTTGCCGACTGTGATTGTGAACTAGGCAGTTAAGAGTTGATCAGTCAAATAGACCTCTCTGATGTTATGTAATTTAAGCGTTAGATTCCGATCACTTGGCATCTATCGACAGCAATACCAACAAATTCGATGAAGAGCGCTTCTACTAAGATCAATTAAGTATAGTATTCACATTTTTAATATAACAAATATCCAAGTATATGTGTTTTCATCAATGAAGTTGATAATTGAATATTTGCATTACCAAAGTTATTAAACGTAATTATCATAAATTAAATGCCAAACTTTTGATATATTGAAAGAATTATGGCCTTTTCTTTGTAAATTCCTTATATCTAATTATTTCATTCTCCAATTCACCAAACAAATTACCCCGGGACCGACGAACTTCAAAGTAGTGATTCTCACGACAGTACATAGAAACAAAATCATTCAATTGCATATGATTGTTGTCCAAGTCTTCTAATAAAACAACGATCAAATTATTAAACTGGTTCTGAATTCCTTCAGTGACAGCAACCTCGAACTCGAAAAGACGATGAAATGACGTCATGTAGTCGTTATTAATCAGAGCTAAAATACACGTGCTGTTGTTCATAGCCTTAACTATATCTACTGTTTCCTTACCACCACCTATCAAATCCAGTTCTGGTATACACATAGATACGCCCTTATTTTGCATGTACACCTGGAATCTGGAGACAAAATCATTCACTGGCCGAGAGGGTTCCAAAGATAGATACACTGTGAATTTTAAATGCTCATCATTTGCTTCGTCTTCACTCTGTTGAATGTTTTTTCCAATCGGTGAGATAAATTTTCTGCCTACACTAAACAGGTAAATGAGACGAGACCTTTTGTAGTAGGCGAGAGCAGGAAGCGAAAGCAGCAAACACAATCCGCAGAACACTGCCACACAAATGATAATAACCTCCCCTGCTATACAGTCAATATCCATCTGTCCTATCATGTCATCCAACCTAGCAAGACTGACAACACTTCCGTTACTGGCTTTACATTTGTAATGTTTCAAGTTCCGGAACACAACTTCAGTGACCATCATCCACCGGAGTTGTTCTAACTGATCACACGTGCATTTCAGGGGATTTCCAGTTAGAACAATTATGAAGTTTGACTGCTTGGCTAAATGATCCATCTCCTCCATATTGACGCGCGTAAGGTCGATTATGGTGTTATTTGACAGATTGATTTCTCTCATTCTTTTCAGCGATTCCATTCGAAAAGAAATTGCTGACAAAAAGTTTTGCTGAAGATCAAGTTTTTCAAGATTGATTTGTTTGGCGAAGATGAATTTTGGCAGATCGGTTAATCCATTATCACTCAAATTTAGATATGTTAATTTTGTTTGATTGGAAAATGTGAGAAACTGCGTATCTTGCATGATAGTAATACCGAGTCTGTTCCCATTAAGCAGGAGAGTATGTAAATTAGCCATGTCACCGAACGTATCCGGAGCTAACCGAAACATTGCATTAAAGGAAATATTTAAAAACCTAAGGGAATGTAAACCTGACCATTTACCATACCAGGCATGGAGCCCATTCGACGATAGATCGAGATATTCTAAAGAATTATTAGAATCAAATGTTACCGGTGGGGCAGTTAAAGGGTTGAGCTTCAGATTGCTTCCAAAGATTTTCTGCACATTGACAGGTAAACGGAGCACATCATCAGTTTGGTGGCTATTGGAACGTAACAAATTGTATTGGTATTCATTTGGCTCTTTTACAACTTGTTGTGAACGTACCACATATTTAGATAAAGGAATTATATATTTTTCATCACTTTTTTCTTCCTTTTCTACTCTTCTGCCTTTATATAACAAAGGAGTGGGGCGAACATTTTGTGATTCGTGATCGGTTTTCACTCTGATATGGTAATTTAACTGGTAGCTCATATCAAAAACCAAAAGATTGTTCAGGCGAACTAAGTTGACAAGGAAGTGTACATCCGTTAAATAATTGTTCCGAAAAGTTAAAAACACCAATGACATTGGAAGGAGATCTATGACGCCATTTTCTATTTTCGTAATTATATTGGAATCTAACGTCAGCGTTTTAATGGTCGTTGTATTGAAATACACAAAATCTTTTTGTTTGAGAGTAAATGGATCGATGTGTCTATTGATACGATTGAGGCGAAGAATCTGAATATTTGTTAAATGTAATCCAAAGCTTGCGTTTTTCATCCCTCCAAAGCCTAATCTATCATTTTCAGACAAATCTAATTCCGTTAGATGCTTAAGCATTGCGAACGCCCCTGGTGCGATATGGTATATATTACACTGTGCTAGCTTTAACACAGATAATGTAGAATTACTCAAACTGCTGAACGTTATATTGAGAACGTCGAGCAACACACAGGAACTTTCATCATCCCGAACTGACATATCAAGAGAGGTCAAAAATCTTAATTTCCGAAATCCTTCTCCAAATATAACCCTTGTTAATCCGTCCATAGTCAATTCTTCTAAAAACTCGAGATCAGAAAGTGCCACATCCGGGTAGTTTTGATCTACTGTCGATTGTTTGATGTTGCCATGGATGTTTAGAACTTTCAGATTTTCAAGATACCGGAATATTCCCGGAGCGTACACATTGGTTGTCATCTTCAGATTATTATAGCTTATATTCAGTGTTAGCAATGATTCCAATCCTTCAAAGCAAGAGTATCCCAACACGGCCAGACGGTTGTGAGATATGTCGAGTGACTGGAGTTTTGACAGGTTTCTGAAGGTACCATTGTGAAGCACTGTAAAGCGATTGTTGGCAATGGAAAAATGTTCCGCGGAAGATGGGAAATTGAATTTGGGAGGGATGTTGTTCCACTTGAGATTTGAGCAATCCAAACCATCAATCGTATTTCCTTTGTAGGTACATGAGCACGGAGCAGAACAGTTTTCTCTCTCCCCTCTGATTGGACTCATCAGGAAAACATTAATGGCGAACAGGACATATGGTAACGAGCTACACGGCATGTTTGAGAGGCACTGAAAATTAAAAAACAATTATTAAGCAAATACTTTTCCCGCCAAGTTTATGAAACGTTTCTTGCTAAACAACCAACAAGTGTTTATATGTGACGTGTCGATGACTAGTACGGTATGTACTCTGTCACCTTCACCAGACAAATTATACTGCACAATAAAATTGTACATAAGGTAACTCTTTTCCTTAAGGTAACATTTTTCGCTCAAGTTACCTATTCTGATCACTTTCCGTCCGTCGTTGTCCGTCGTGCATACACCTTTTACATTTTTGACTTCTCCGCAAGAACCATAGGATTGAAGATTTTCAAACTTATCAGAACTATCCTAAGTAGATGATGCTACAACGTTGTAAAATTGGGATTCCTACCCCAACCCCAGGGGTCCTGCGGGGATCCAAAGGGAAAATTAACCAATATTTTCAAAATAAATTTGACAATAGTTTATATAGGGAAATAACACTTTTGGGTATATTTCTATCATTTTCAGTAGTCATCTGTGGTGGAAGAGGGTATTACATTGTAAAATTGGGAGACCTGTCCTTTCCAAAGGGGCTAGGAAGGGGCCCAAAGGAAAAATATGCCAATATTTCTTAAGACTTAGAGGTACTACAATTAAATTCTGTACATGGATGAAAATTCCATCCGAGACGTTATCTATTTTTCAATTTCATTACCCCAGTGCTATCCATTCTCGCTTGGGGAGGGGGTAAAGCTGACTTTAGTGTATATAGACAAATCACACTTTTGGGTATATTTTGTCAATTTTCAGCAGGTAATTATTCAAACATGATTGAAATGATTATGATGCCAGATGGCAATTAGATAGTATGAGAATATAAGAGTCTGCCCCATCCCAGGGGCTGGAGGGGTGGAAAATGGTGAATGGGGAAAATGGTTAGAAGTTAAACAATCTTTTAAATCAGACTCAGATGTTTTACAAACAAATTATCTTCATGGAAAGAAAAGGTCCTTAGGTGCATTATCTAAATTGTAAGTTTCATTATCTCCCATGTCATCTGCTCTCCCTTGGGGAGAGGGTTAAGTTTAATTTAGTTTATATGGGGAAATAACACTTTTGACTATATCTTGTTCATTTTCAGAAAAACTTGGTTGGAATAGTTTTTATTAAATTGAAATCAAATAGTATCAGAAAGTAAGATCCTAACGTATCCCAGGGGTTGGTCAAAGAGGAAAACATTTCTCAAAAGCAAAGTAATTTATTTGAATAGAATTTTCAAGTTCTTTTACTTTGGTGACATATGACAAGTATTGTATTTTACTTTGTTTACATGTTGATTTCCACATCACATCTCAACAATGAAATTGAGCTACAAGAACCTTTAGTATAACTCAGGTGACCGCTAAGGCCTGTGGGCCTCTTGTTCATATCATACCAGTGCTTTCTAAACCTAACTCATATTGCTCTCCAACAGTGCATGATCGATTTTCGCGGAATACATGATGAACAAATACTGGAATAGATCAAGGTATATATAATAATTCGCTTCTCAAGTGTTTTAACAGAATTTCTGGTCAGGAAAATCACATATCCTCAATTCGGCAATTTTTCATACCTTAAAAAAGGAAGGTAAATACTAGCCGACTGGTAATGTATATTCTTTACAACAATTTTATTTAGACCTTACCAAAATCCGTCCAGAAGAATGAAATTAAACGATAAATGAGACAATACAGAAAGTCGACCTGTAGATTGAGATTAGACTGAAAGACGACCTATGGGGGTGAGGATAAACTTGAAAGACGACGGGATTAGTTGGATAAGACCGAAAGTCGACACCGAAAGTCGACCTGAACAGTGAGGTTAGACCGAAAGTCGACCTGAATAGTTAGATTAGACTGAAAGACGACCTGAACAGTGAGATTAGACCGAAAGTCGACCTGAACAGTGAAGTTAGACCGAAAGTCGACCTGAACAGTGAGGTTAGACCGAAAGTCGACCAGAACAGTGCGGTTTGACTGAAAATCGACCTGAATAGTGAGATTAGACCTAAAGTCGACCTAAACAGTGAGATTAGACAGAAAGTCGACCTGACCAGTGAGGTTAGACCGAAAGTCGACCTGAACAGTGCGGTTTGACTGAAAGACGACGTGAATAGTGAGATTAGCCTGAAAAACGACATGAACAGTGAGATTAGACGGAAAGTCGACCTGAACAATGAATTTAGACCGAAAGTCGACCTGAACAGTGAAGTTAGACCGAAAGTCGACGTGAAGAGTGAGGTTAGACCGAAAGATAACGTGAACAGTGAGGTTAGACCTAAAGTCGACCTGAAAAGTGAAAGTAGAACGACAGTCGACTTGAATAGTGAGGTTAGACTGAAATACAACCTGGAAAAGTTAGATAAGACTGAAAGTCGACCTGAACAGTAAGGTTAGACCGAAAGTCGACCTGAACAGTGAGGTTGGACTGAAAGTCGACTTGAACAGTGAGGTTAGACTGAAAGTCGACCTGAACAGTGAGATAAGACTGAAAGTCGACCTGGAAAGTTAGGAAGGCCTAAAGTCGACCTGAACAGTGAAAGTAGAACGACAGTCGACTTGAATAGTGAGATTAGACTGAAAGACAACATGGAAAGTTAGATAAGACTGAAAGTCGACCTGAACAGTGAGGTTAGACCGAAAGTCGACCTGAACAGTAAGGTTAGACCGAAAGACGATCTGAACAGTGAGATTAGACCGAAAGACGATCTGAACAGTGAGATTAGACCGAAAGACGACCTGGACAGTGAGATTAGACCGAAAAATGACCTGAATAGTGAGAATAGACTGAAAGACGACCTGAACAGTGCGGTTTGACTGAAAAACAACCTGAATAGTGAGATTAGACTGAAAAAAGACCTGAACAGTGAGATTGACCTATAGTCGAAATGAACAGTGAGATTAGACGGAAAGTCGACCTGAACAGTGAAGTTAGACCGAAAGTCGGTTTGACTGAAAGACGACGTAAATAGTGAGATTAGACTGAAAAACAACATGAATAGTGAGGATAGACTGAAAGACGACATGATCGGTAAGATCAGACTCAATGCCGACTTGAAAGTGGTGTTTATTTTAGACTTGACGAAACGCCGACCTTAATAGTGAGGTTTAGACCGAGAGACAATCTGTACATTGAGTTTAGACGAAAAGACGACTTACACAGTGAGATTAAACTAAAAGACAATCACATTGCCAAACAGACCAATGTGACCAACCAATGTTTTACAGCATGTTGACAGTCACATTGCCAAACAGACCAATGTGACCAGCCAATGTTTTACAGCATGTTGACAGTCACATTGCCAAACAGACCAATGTGACCAGCCAATGTTTAACAGCATGTTGACACTTACATTGCCAAACAGACCAATGTGACCAGCCAATGTTTTACAGCATGTTGACAGTCACATTGCCTACCAGACCAATGTGACCAGCCCATGTTTTACAGCATGTTGATAGTCACATTGCCTAACAGACCAATGTGACCAGCCAATGTTTTACAGCATGTCGACAGTCACATTGCCTAACAGACCAATGTGACCAGCCCATGTTTTACCGCATGTTGACAGTCACATTGCCTAACAGACCAATGTGACCAGCCCCTGTTTTACAGCATGTTGACAGTCACATTGCCTACCAGACCAATGTGACCAGCCCATGTTTTACAGCATGTTGACAGTCGCATTGCCTAACAGACCAATGTGACCAGTCCATGTTTTACAGCATGTTGACAGTCACATTGCCAAACAGACCAATGTGACCACCCAATGTTTTACAGCATGTTGACAGTCACATTGCCTAACAGACCAATGTGACCAGCCCCTGTTTTACAGCATGTTGACAGTCACATTGCCTAACAGACCAATGTGACAAGCCCATGTTTTACAGCATGTTGACAGTCACATTGCTTAACAGACCAATGTGACCAGCCCATGTTTTACAGCATGTTGATAGTCACATTGCCTAACAGACCAATGTGACCAGCCCATGTTTTACAGCATGTTCTGTAAGGATTGATCGCTTTTTGGCTGCATGAGCTGTACGTGGTAGACACAAGAATCCCTTGTAAAACACACACATCCCAATCTACCTCTCGATAAACGAAATGACGATAATCGCAAAACTTCTCTGTCTAGTTGATGTGCTACAACTTTACCCGATCTCAGAATGGCGTGAGGATCCTAATGACAAACTCCTGTACCCGTGTAATGGAAAGCGAAAATAGATCCAGGCGGAAAGAGTCTTGCTACAATTACATCCAAGAGGGTATAAATACAGGTGAGCTGAGCCGGCCAGGTAGATTGAGACCGATCACAGTGTGATACATACCAAGCTAACAACGGTAGGTTTATATAGGAAGCCAACTAAAGCTAGGTTATATATATGCCCAAATAGCGTGTAGATATATTAAAGGCCTGAATAAGGCCATACTATATTAACACCGATAGACACTGTCAGCGGAGGGTGGTCTGTGAGACATACACGTTGGCTACCACTACTTACGGTGATAGGTAGCTCCGACAAGCCTCGCACGTATACATATACACATATCTAGAGACGCGGTTGGTTGCACAGGGGCATGGATCGCTTTACTTGTAATATTAAAAAATAAGGTCTCCTATACTAATAAATACAAAGGGATATAACGACAGACTGAAATCCGTTACCCCCTTTTTTCTTTCTGCTCGTGTCAATGAGCTCCACACAGAATGATGTCCCGCCCTATCAGTGGCGGAAAACAAATGAGGTAACTTTTTTGGACTAGCTTCCCTTTCGCATACATACAGGTAGCCAATGATAGGGCGGGACATCATTCTGTGCGGAGCGTAAAGTATTTCGAAAACAAATGGCGCCTAGTCGACTGCTACTGTGTAATGCAGGTGTGCAAGGGGAAAAATCCCGATATACCGCTTGTCATGTGTAGAAACTGATCGACGTAGTATTTCAGAGAAGCGGGCAGCACATGTATTGGATTGAGGATATTAAATAAGGATTTAAACCATTCCTTGGATATATTTCTCGAGTTTACCCGTGAAACTTGGTCATTTCTCGTGAGTATAGAATTTGGTTCGGTCGCAATTTAACGGTGTAATTGCGACTTTAAAGCGGTGTCAGTGGATAACTATGTGTCAGACAGTCGTAATTATGGTTTCATTTTGTAAATAAATCACTTGTCTTCAATATTCAACCGAGGTATATCCAATATGGAATAAGGTTTGTGATTGACACGAGCTGAAAGAGAAAAGGGGGTAACGGATTTCAGTCTGTCGTTATATCCCTTTTTATTTATTAGTATAGGAGACCCCTATTTTTTAATATTACAAGTAAAGCGATCCATGCCCCTGTGGTTGGTTGGTAGCGGAGCTTGCAGAGCGGCGTGGTGACCAGAAACCGCGCATTGTTGTCGCCCGCCACCGCGGTACTAATAACACTGTTGACAGCAGTGTGTGTGCAGCTGCGCCTTTACATACAAATAACCACTGTAAATCTCTTCATGTTGCTTTAGCATGCACTGGCGGCATGTAGCTGTAGTAAATCCGATACATATATATATTGTACTAAGGGGACGGTGTAGATATCTCAAATCCCAGGCAGTGACCTGGTAACGAACCCCCTTACACGTCACACCCGGACGATCAATCCCTCTCGGCTACGATGCTGCACTGTAATGAAATGTGCAAGCTAAAGATAGACTGAGTGGATATAGATTGCACTATCAGTGAAGCGTGATCGCAAACGTTATCGATTTTGTATTCGGCATAACAGCTTTTCCTTTAAATCTACACGGCCGATAGACACCGTGTATACAATAACTACATATGACTTATTTTTGCCTGCAACGTCCTGTTATAGAATTACATCGCTATTATTATAAACGGGATAAAAATACCACACATATGTGATCATCTGACGTCTCAGATTACCCGTCTGAATCGCTCGTATTGAAATATATGTAACAAGGGCTTTAACCCGAGTGAAAGACATCCATTCGGGCAGTATATTTCAGGATGACTTTAGCCAAAGTAAAATACTGTAAAACTCGAAGTTTTTGCGTGTGATAAATGTTCGCGTTGTGACGCGTTACATTAGCGGTGTGGACATTTTCGCGTTGGCAATGGTCTGAAATCTGTATGTCCTATATGTCTATCAACTATAAATAAACATTTGCGTTGGATACTATTTGAGATAATTTATTCAACAGCATGTATAGTATTGTTTATATTATATACCTACAATTGTTCTGTATTTGTATTTGATATTTTTGTGAATTAAATCCTCAATTAATCCAATTGAAAGTTCAATTTGATTAATTAAACCGAACAACAATTACCGACAAAAGTACGTCGAGGAAGGAAAACTTACGTCATGTCACCAAAGCGTAAATTGGCGCCAACATGTTTGAAACCTACATTTTTAATTCATCGATTTGATCAGAATGGAAGAGTTCCATCCGGAAAGGCATTAGGCTACCAGGGTTTTACAACGTCTTGCATATTATCACAGGTCTTAAAATACCACGTATGTTTACTTCAGTAGGTGAACATAGTGAAAACAAATATGAAGGAATGAACTTGTTTACATTTTCTTTGTACACTCTTTAGATAAATCTACCAATTAAAAATGTTTTTATAATCCAATAACAACATGAACCATGACACATGAATGTTTTCCAATCGGATATCGTTCGCGTCTTCCGACAAACTTTTTGGAAATTGGGGACAAGCTAAGACATGACGTCAAATTCAAATTATGACAAATATTCTCACATAGTTTCCGAGGGACGTTCTTCGCCTTACGAAGCTGGTAACTTAAAAAGGACACGCTCTTGTTCTTGCAAAAGGACTGTCCCACAATCTGGTAAAACAGACTTTTTTAAATAAATGTAATTTTGACGGATTTAGTCCATATAGACCGATGAAATAATATACAAAGATTGAAATACATCTGTTTAACATTTATTAGTCGTATTCAACACTGCTCCGTTCAAACCTATTTCCCTCGATGCGTTACTGATGGCGGGATAACGAGGTCAAACTCAATCTCCACGCAGAGTTACGGTCCTTGCACTGAAAAGGAAACGACAACTCTGGTCAAACTATCTATCATATAACTCCCCTGTCATGCAGTTCATATTTCTGCTTAAAGCATTGCTCTTTTGTTTGTAACGTACAGTATCTCTCATAATGTCCCTGTATTTTCATGCCGTGGCCGAAGTGTGTATTATGTTTACAAAGAACTGGACTTTATCAATACAAAAGCCTTTTGTGTGATGCCCAAAACTGGGTATTATTAACAAAATGGGCCTTTCATGGAATGTAAGTGGGCATTATTAATACAAAGGCCTGAATACATAGATGACGTAACAGACTCCACACTTCACCACTGTATACAAATTGAACATAAAATTCAAAAGAACACAAAACAATAGAAAGGAATACATTTTAATTACAATAATTAGTTTATTTATTTTCATTGTTTCCAATGTCACCATCATGTGGTTTAAATGCTTAATAGCAAAAAATTAGTGTCACTGGAGCTAATACCGGCTGCTGCTTCGGTCTCAAAAATATTTTATCTGCTTTTACTCATAACCATCAAATCATACTCTGTTCACTTCATGTCCTCCTTAGCTGCGAAAGAAACAAAAATGCAAATCATTACACACACAAACACAGATAATACAGGACACGAGTACAGTACATTGAAGTGACATTGGTTTTGATAGAAAAGTTACGAGTATGCAGTGTATGTAAGACATTTAGCTAATGATAATGCATCATTGAATCATTGCAACATAACCAATGATTAAAAAGGTTTAAGAAAACGGACGAGAAACGAATTTCATAAATTGTGATTGAATGAATAATCAGAGGATTTCATCAAATGGAAGTGAATACATTGTTAAATATAACTGTTTTGATCCAGGGCAAAAAAAGAATGTAGAAAATCACTGATTTAGAGTGCAAACATTCTGTGCCCATGGTGATTGGACAGATGCGATAATTTTTACAGATTTTTAAGCAAAAAATAGCAGCTATTATTATTTATGTGAAATAATTAAGCGAAAACAAAGGGTGGCCAATATCACATATCATATTAATTTCTTTCGACGTTTACCTGAGCCGAAGCCAATACCCGTGTCAGTAGTACTATTGTCCATGTATACGGTACTTTAGTGTTTTCTGCATATTTTTTCCTGTGACCTTGTAAGTAGGTCAATGTCATTTTCCTTCTCAAATTGGTTAGCTCTATTCCAAAAAGCTACCAGCCAAATCTAATAAACCCATTTCTTTTAGTTCTTAAGAACAAATCCTTTAAAATGTTTTTGACCTCTGTGACCTCTAAAGTAGGTTGAGGTCATTTTCATTCGCAAACTTTGGTGAGCTCTATCCCAGGAAGTCACCAGCCAAATATTATAAATTTATGCCTTTTAATTCTTCATCAGAAGTAGTTTGAACCGTTTGACATATTTGAACGCTGTGACCTTGAAAGTAAGTCAATGTCATTTTCATTCGCAAACTTTGTTTGCCTCTTTCCCAGGAAATAACCAGCCAAATATTAAGGATCTATACCTTCCAGTTCTTCAGAAGAAGTTGTTCTAAGCGTTAGACATATCTGACTCCTGTGACCTTGAAAGTAGGTCAAGGTCATTTTCATTCTTAAACTTTGTTGGGCTCTTTCCCAGGAAGCTACAAGCCAAATATTAAGGTTCTATACCTTCCAGTTCTTCAGAGGAAGTCGTTCGAAGTGTTTGACATATCTGCCTCATGTGACCTTAAAAGTTTGTCAAGGTCATTTTCATTCTCAAACTTTATTCGGCTCTTTTCCAGAAAGCCATCAATCAAATATAAATATTCTAAACAGTTCAGTTCTTCAGAAGAAGGCGTTTGAAGCATTTGACATATTTCACCCCTGTGACCTTGAAAGTAGGTCAAGGTCATTTTTATTAGCACTTTGTTCGGTTTCTTCCATGGAAGCTACCTACCAATTTTCATGTCTCTAAACCTTTCGGTATTTCAGAAGAAGTTGTTCGAAGGTTTTTACATATGTGACCTTGAAAGTAGGTCAAATTCTGGGTTTTTTTTTTCAAAAACTTTGTCGGGCTCCATATAAGGAAGCTACCATATCATGACTCTATGCCTTCTGATTCTTCAGAAGAAGTCGTTTTAAGGAAAGTTGACGGACGCGGGGACAGACGCCGGACGACAGACGGACGGACGACGGACCATGGCATGAGCTAATAAGTGTCATTGTATAAATTCTATCCCTCTTCAAAAAGTTCCGATTTTTTTCAAGGTAGACAACTCTCATCAGGATCAAATTATTGTAAAATGTAAAGTAAATGAATTATAAAGACTTTGTGTGTATTTGGTTCAAATTTTCACTCTTTTTGTTTCAAACTATGTGTCCTGTTTGCTCTTAGATTATATTTAGTAGCTTTTATCCATACAATTTCCATAAAAAACGCTTTTTGTAACATTTTGTAGAT